TCCAGTTGCCTACAGATGGATCTTGGGTCCCCACTCCACACGCCCCCTCATTCACAATGATTTGATTTTTTGTTCTTTGATACCTGATACCTGATCTCTTCAACACCTCGTGATCACACAGGCTGGTGTGCTTCTTCAGTGTGGGCTTTGTTGCTTCTGAGCTAGATGGCCACTTGTTTACCTTCAAGCCTTTAAGACCCCGGACGATATACTTTTTGATAGCCGGGTACCATCAGCTTTCTTCACCACATATATAATGAACTCTTAGGACTTATTAAGTCAGACAACCCATAAAAATAGCACACAGATTTGAGTAGACATTTCACCAAAGGAGAAATACAAATGGCTAATAAGCACATGAAAAGATGTTCAACTTCATTAGTCATTAGGAAGATCAAATCAAAACCACAATGAGATAAAACTATCTATACCCATTACAATGGCTGTAATAAAAAAGATTGATGGTACCAGTGCTGAAAATTGATGAAAATGTGGAAAACCCTCATACATTACTGACAAATAAGTTAAATGGACTAGAGAAACAAATTCATAGATACTCATACGTGTATAAGAAAGAGCTTTTATAAGCAAGAGGAAATAATTATTGAGAAAATGTCCCAGCCCAGTCCAGATCAAGTTTATAAGTCCGATATTAGTCCATATGTCCGATACCAATCTTTAAAGTCCTCTTCAGACTCACAAAACACATGAAATGATGCCAAATGCGAAAACATTACAGGTCAGTGGGTAGAAAGTCTTGTGGATCCAGTGGCGGTATAAGCATCTCAGTGCTGGCCAGGTTTCTCTGTGGCTCCTCCAGCTCAGGGCACTAGTCAATAGCTCCATGTGTCTTCTCAGCTGGAATGTCTCCCAAGGGAGTCAGCTCATGTCCTGCTTCCAGGGAGCTATTTATCTCCTTAGTGCCTCCAAATGAGGTCATCAAACTGCGACCTGATTGACAGGCTAAACTCCACCCCTTCGCTCATAGTCTCAAACTGACAGATTATGTTAACCACCACAGCCACTTTGGAAGAACAATCGATTTTATTTAAAAGTTAAATGTACACTTAATCTAGATTTAGTATTCCTACTGCTGAGTATCTACCCAAGAAAAATAAATATTTGTGCACAAATCTTCATTGCAATGTCCTGTATTCAAAAAAACCCCAAACTTACTACTGTTTAATCAATTCCGACTCATCCTGACCCTGTAAGACGGAATAGAACTGTCCCTGTTGGTTTTTGAGACTATAACTCGTTATAGAAAGCTTCATCTTTCTCCCTTGCAGTTAGCAGCTCAACGTATAACCCACTCTGCCACCACGGCTCTTTGTATCCTATAGTTTAAATGTGAATTGATACATAAATATACTAAATTGTGGCATATTTATGCTAGAATACTGCGGAACAATAAAAAAAACTACTTGTCATAGTTGAGCTTCAACAATATGCTAAGTGAAAAAGGACATAAGATACTTTATATTACGTAATTCTATTTATGTGAAATTTCTGAAAGAGGCAGAAAGCAGATCAGTGGTTGGCGAGGTCAGGGTGCAGGGATAAACTATAAGTTAGGTTTAAGAGAACTTTTAGAGACAATAAATGTATTCCAAAACTGGATTTTAGTATAGGACAACTATACAATTTTTCTAGAAATCAAATGATGTATTTAGAAGGAGTGAAAATTATATGTGAATTATACCTCGAATTGTAAAGAAATAGTTATAATATTTTAATGTATAAATAAATGTATAATATTCTGAAATAGAAAAATTCTGTAGAGACTAGTGACTTAGTAGAGTTTGTCTTTTTTATTTGTTCCTCTACATTTTTTTATAATACTAATATATTGGCAGGAGAAATAAACTCTAAATCCCTCACTGATCGGCTAAAAAAATTAGATATCTATCCAAGTGTAATATTTTATCCATTTTTCTTCCTGTTAGGAGCTTTTAGGAAAGAATATTGTGGAATTCTGTCATCCGGAAGATCAACAGCTTCTTAGAGACAGCTTTCAACAGGTAACTTCTCCTGGTGTGGATCTAAATAAATATTTATGTCTGTTTATTGCATTTATTACACAGATATTTATTGACCACTGATTGATTAAACTCTCTGTCAGGCACTATAGTTTTACATTTTTAAGTACTTAACCTGTATTTTTAAGTAACAGAAAAGGACTAATACTTTGAAAGTGGATCATGTACAAGGTATTCCAAAGCTATGAGCTCTAGTCAGTGGTTGAGGGCATGGCAGCTAATTGTAAAGTTTGAACCCAGAAGCGATGGTGAAGAGATGTGCAGTTTGCGTCTGTAAAGATTACAGCCCTTGGAAACCCTACTGGGCAATTCTACTCTGTCTTAAAGGGTTGCTGAGTCAGATTTGACTCAATAGCAATGGAGTTTAGAGGTCACTATCTTGTATCCAACTAGCTGTGTCCAGAATGTTGTCTTTAAGCAATTTTTCCAGGTTTTTAGTTGAGCTATTTATAGTAGTAAAAAAATTTCTTTAGGGAGTTCTTTTATAGATAAGAAAGAGATGATTTAAAAAAAAATTTTTTTTTTAATTAAAAGATCGTTTTATTTGGGGCTCTTACAGCTCTTATAAAAATTCATACATATATCAAGAAAGAGATGATTCTTAATTGTAATTTTTAGACCCTAGCTCCTAGGTATATCTGATATAAGATAGATTTGGCTTTTGTAGTAGCAGTTCATTACAAGTAATTATCTTGATCCTCAATGATGTACATACTGATACAATAGATCCAATAATAGTACTTAATTTAGAAGGTAGTTAGAAAGTTTAAATAAAATAATGCACATAAAGCATTTGCCTAATTTAAAAATAAATGCTAGTTGCTAATATTATTGCTGTTCTGATGTTATAGAGGGAGAATCAATGTTGTATTTTCTATTCCCGAGACTAGAAACTAAAATAATCTAATACTACTTTCTTTAAAAAAGAGAAAAAGTAATATAAGATGAAAAACAAATCTAGGTTTGCTATGGAAATCTCCATGTGTGTTGTAAAATAAAAATTATCTGGTTTTGGGGGGAAAGGCAGGATAAAGTGCCACATAAGCTATATGAAGGTAAGTCAAAAAGTATTGCTGCTAGGATTCTAGTTCATATTTATGTACATATTTATTTCAAACAAAACATTTTTAAACATGTCACTGTATTAGGCTAATGGCTACAGACCAGTTCTCTTAGTAATACACTTGCTTTAGTCTCATTAGGGTGCCATCAAATGAAAGATCCAGTTAAAACTGTCTTCTGAGGGGATCTACTGGATCAGTTCAATTCAAGGTAGGGAGGTCAGCTCAGAGGGTATGACTGTTATGGGAGATCTCAAAGAGGTAATCTTGCTAGATTTTCTTAAACAACACAGGATGATCATAGAACCTTATTATGAAGAAATTTTAAGAAAATAAAAACAATGTTGGTGAAAATTATCATAAAGTTGTGCCAAGGAATTTTTTCCCATATTGACAGTGCACCTGCAGATTCTTAGGAAGTAGCAGTGACTGTCCTAGAAGAATTTCATTGGGAAATCTGACTTCATGCACTCTATATGCCTGATCTTGACCCTTCAAACTTGTTTTGTTTTCAAAACTTAAAGAACATTTAAAGGAACCAGATCTAAGTGCTTTGAGAAGACTAAAACTGCTGTCTTGTGTAAGTCAAAGAGCACAGGATTGTATAGAAAAGGGTTAGAGAGATGGAAACACCATCTTCAGTGTGTTTAGAATTCCAGATGGAGAATATGTCAAGAAAAAAATCACTTCAAATAAACAAACAAATAACATACATAAATATACACACATACAATAATAAATTAATGAACCTAATACATTGAGAAAGTTGCATTTTAAGAAAACCTCTTTATATTTTGATGTTTAATTAGTGTCTGATTTTATAGCAATACTTTTTGACTCATTTTCATATTCTGTGTTTTTAAACTTAAAATTTCTAGTATAGACTTGTAAAGCTAGCTTAGTCTATCCTTTACTTTGCAAGGAAATTGCGGAAGCAGTCTTCTCTCTGCTAGAAATTACTAATATTCTTGTTTGTCTTACTGGAGTGGTCAGGTAGCTAGGAACTTTGGGAAGAAACTTACACAGTAGATTTCCTCGTTATTTAATCACTTTTCCTCCCTGTTATATTGTTAGTAAAATTGAAAGAGGCTGGTGCTTAGAGGACAGTGAGATGAGAGTCAGGATTGTAGAAATGGGATTTTAAATTTTTATTATTTTATAAAGAAAAATTTCTGTGCATTTCACTGATGGCATGACGAATTTTTCAGGTGGTGAAATTAAAAGGCCAGGTGCTGTCTGTCATGTTCCGGTTCCGATCTAAGAACCGAGAATGGCTCTGGATGAGAACCAGCTCCTTTACTTTCCAGAACCCGTACTCAGATGAGATTGAGTACATCATATGTACCAACACCAGTGTGAAGTATGTACTATGAAGGCCTTTTCTAGTGTTGGGATTTCTCAGGGGCCAAATCTGCTTAGCCTTATCAAGTTATTTCCTCCTCTACTCTTCCAGCATCAAACCTCATCTTCAACTTCTTAGAGGATTTGTGTATTTGATCCAGATACTATCAGATTTTAACAAACAATACTTTAGCAACTAAGTTTTGAGATATGAAGAGCTTATTACGAGTATTTCAGTTTTATTTATTAGCAATTTGGGGGAATATGTTTATTTTTTAATACCAATTTTTTTATTGCTCTAGTTTAGCAGAATTTTTCTCTAGAACAGGGTCTGCCAACTCTTTCTTTGAAAGACTAGTTAGTAAATTTTTTTCTAGGCTTTGGGAGCTATTATGGTCTTTATTGTAACTTCTCAATTCTGCTATTTTAGCACAAAAGCTGACATAGATATATGAGTGAACACGGCTGTATTCCAGTAAATGTTTATCTTAAAAAATAAGCTGTGATTTAGATTTGGCTTAATGGGCCAAATTTGCCTATCTTAATTTTAAAGTATAGCTACATTGCAATCTGTTAGTTTTTGGTTCTTTCTTCCATAAATCTTTTCTACTTGAACTTGCTTTCTCAACTTGCTTTTTTAAAATTTTATAAAACTGCTTTATTGTGATATATCTCACTTGCCATACAGTTGACCCATTTAAAGTACATGATTCAATGCAACCATTACCACAGTCTTCATTTCACAACATTTTCCTTTTCCTTTAGAAGACATCCTGTGTCTATTAACAATCAATTTTCATTTTCATCCTTATCTCTTAGCAACCATTAACCTAGTCTTGCTATTACTTTGCCTGTTTCAGACACTTCACAGAAAAGGAATCATGTAGTACATTGCTTCCTGTGATTGGCATCTTTCATTTAGCATGTTCCTAAGGGGCATTTATTTTCATTGATCAATAATATTCCACTGTATGCATAAACCATATTTCATTTACTAATTAGTTGAACATTTGATGGGGTTTTTTTGCAATTGTGAATAATGCTACTATAATAATTTCTGTTGAGTTTTTGTTTAGATTTATGCTAACTCTGTGTTGATCACTTTTGAGGATCTGCCGTGCTATTTTCTAATGTAACTGCATCATTTTACATTTCTACTGTCAATGAGTAAGATTCTTCCACATCATTGGCAATACTTGCTATCGCCTATGTTTTTTAATCTAGTCATCCTAATGAGTATAATGTACTCTGTATTGGCCTTGGAACCTATCTCTATAAAATCAAATTATGAATAATGAGCAAAGATGAACAGTATTCAATGACAAAATTAAATCTGTGTCCTCCAATTCCATTTTTAGGCCATGTAAAATTTAATTTTCTGGTAACAGTTGATTATAAAATAATGAATTTAAAAAATAATAATGAATTGAGTTAGAATACTACCAGCTTCTCTTAAGTCTCAATTGTATGGTCATGGTCTTTTTTTTTCCAATCATTTTATTGGGGGCTCATACAATTCTTATCACAATCCATACATACATCCATTGTGTCAAGCACATTTGTACATTTGTTGCCCTCATCATTCTCAAAACATTTGCTTTCTACTTGAGCCCTACATTTATGTTTTTACAACTTTATATTACACAACACTGTTTTTGTTTCTATTTAAAATATTTTAAATTTAAAAGGACTCACATTTCTGAAAATGTGTCATTGTTGTTAAGTGCCATTGAGTCAGTTGTGACCCACAGAGATCCTATGCACAACAGAACGAAACACTGACCAGTCCTGCACCATTTTGATAATTGTTCTCATGCTCTAGACCATTGTTGCAACCACAGTGTCAGTCCAGCTTATTGAGGGCCTCCCTGTTTTGTTCTGCCCCTCTACTGTACCAAACATGATGTCCTTCTCGAGGCACAGGTCTCTCCTGACAACGTGTCCAAAGTATGTAAGATGAAGTCTTGCCACACTTGCCTCTAAGGAGCAGTCTGGCCATACTTCTTCCAAGAATGGTTTGTCTTTTTACTAGTCCGTGGTACTTTAAATACCCTTCTCCAGCACCACAATTCACATGCATGGATTCTTCTTCTATCTTCCGTATTTACTACCTAACTTTCACATGCACATGAGAGAATGAAGACCATGGCTTGGGTCAGGCACACCTTTAGTCCTCAGCAACATCCTTACTTTTCATTACTCTAAAGAGGTCTTGTGCAGCAGATTTAGCTAGTGCAGCACATCTTCTGTTCTCTTAACTGCTGCTTCCATGAGCATTTGATTGTGAATCCAAGCAAGACAAATCCTTACAACTTCAACCTTTTCTCCATTTATCATGTTACCCATTGGTCCAGTTGTGCAGTTTTGGTCTTCCTTAACACTGAGTTGTATGTAATCCATCCTGATGGCTACAATCCTTGATTTTCATCAAATCTTTCAAGTCTTCCTCGCTTTCAGTAAGCAGTGTTGTGTCATCTGCATATCCCAATTTGTTAATAAGCCTTCCTCCACTCCTGATGTCACATTCTTCATAAAATCCAACTTCTCTGATTATTTGCCCAGCAAACAGTTTTTAAAAGTATTGTGAGAGGCTATAACCCTTTCACACACCTTTCCTGATTTTAAGCCATGTAGTAGTCCCTTGTTCTGTTCTTACAACTGCCTCTTGATCCATGGACAGATTCTTTGTGAGCACAATGAAGTGTTCTGGAGTTCCTATTCTTCTCAAGGTTACCCATAGATTGTTATGATCCACACAGCCGAATGTCTTGGCTTAGTTAATGTTCTAGTTATATAATCTGTTGTCAGTTTGAGAGGATTTCTCTAGTCTAACTGGACTTACACAGTCAATAAAACACAAGTAGACATCTTTCTAGTATTCTCTGCTTTCAGCCAAGATCCATCACAAATACTCAATAATATTCCTTGTTCCATGTTCTATTCTGAATCTGGCCTGAACATCTGGCAGCTCCCTATAAATAGACTGCTGCAACCATTGTTGGATAATTTTCACCAAAAATTTACAGGCATATGATATCAGTACTGTTGTTCTATTGTTTGAGCATTCTGTGGGGTCATATTTCTTTGGAATGATGGCTACAAATAACGGTTCTCTTCTAGTCAGTTAGTCAGGTAGCTGTCTTCTAGTTTTCTTGGCATAAACAAGTAAGTGCTTCTGGTGCTTTATCAGTTTGTTGAAATATTCCATTATTTCCTGGAGGCTTGTTTTTGGCTAATGCTTTCAGGGCAGTTTGAATTTCTTCCTGAGCACCATTGGTTCTTGTTCATATGCTACCTCCTGAAATAGTGGAATATTGACTAGTTCTTTTTGCTACAGTGACTCTGTATATTCTTTCCATCTTTGTTTGATGCTTTCTGCATTATTCAATGTTTTGCTCCTAGAATCTTTCAATATTGCAACTTGAGGCTTGAATTTTTTCCTGGGCTCTTTCAGTTTCAATATTCTGAGTGTGTTCTTCCCTTTTGGTTTTCTAATTCAAAAGTTTTTGTTCCAACTCTTTGACTTCATCCTTTCTTCCATTTGCTTTAGCTACTCTAAGATTAAGAGCAGGCTTCAGTCTCTTCTGACATATACTTTGACCTTTTTTTCCTTTCCTGTCTTTTTAATGACGTTTTGCTTTCTTCTTGAATGATGGTCTAGATGCCCTCCCACAGCTCATCAGGTCTTCTATCATTAGTGTTCAATGCTTCAAATTTGTTCTTGAGATGTTATTGAAATTCAGATGGGATAGATTCAGTGTTGTATTTTGGCTCTGGTGAACTTGTTTCAATTTTCTTCAGCTTTATCCTGAACTTAACAGATGAGCAATTGTGGTCTTTTCCACAGTCAGCCTCTGGTCTGTTTTTAGCTGCTGACATTAAGCTTCTCCTTCATGTCTTCCCACAGTTGTAGGCAATTTGATTTCTGTGTATTACATCTGGGGAAGTGATAAAAGGTATTAGCTATAAACAATTGGGTTTGCTAAATTCTAGGTGATCTTTAGTTTCATTTTTATCACTAAGACTGTTTTCCCATCTACTGTACCTTCCTCTGTCTCTGCTTTTGCATACCAACTGCTAATGATTATCAGTGCATCTTGAAGGCATGTTTGATCAATTTCTGACAGAAGTTGTTGGTAGAATCCTTCAATTTCTTCACCTCTACCATTTGTGGTTGGTGCTTAAATTTGAATAATAGTTGTACTTATTTGATTTCCTCGAAGACTGATAGATATAATCCTATCACAGACATCATTGTAGTTCATGATAGATTTTTTTAAATCATTTTATTGGGGCTCATACAACTCTTAGCACAATCCATACATACATCAGTTGTGCACAGCACACTTATACATTTGTTGCCCTCATCATTCTCAAAATTTGCTTTCC